TAAAGAGCTTTTCAGCTGTATTAACTGATTTAGGAGACTATTGCCAGCTAAGTTTTTGCTTTTTCAGTCCTCTTCTGAAATTACTTTATCCTTGGTAGTTGTGTGTACAATTTTAGCTGGAGCTTCTTCTGGGCTTCTTGTAATAGCCTTTTCTTAGAGTAATCTCTGTTTTCTACTGACTGGTTTTTCTGCATTGATTCTTAGGATTATTAGATTTCTGTAAGATTATGGACATTTTCCAGAGCTACATCAGATACTAGAAGGAAATTTCTCCCTGCCTTCGGCTTTTGAATTTGGCAGATTTTAATGCTGGGACAGCAGTACCCTAATAAATGTAAATGCCACTCTCAACCGACTAATCACATTTTGTAAGTCCCAGAAAGTACTTGAAGTCAAGACTACAGTTGCAAGCCTTTTGCTGTGTTTTCATGTTAAGCTGGTGAAATGGACTGTTTAGCCACAGCTTATACCAACAAAAGTAGTTTGTATAGTATAGTTTATTCTAGGCTTTGTTTCTTCTTCTTCTTTCCTTCCTGTACAAGCATAATCAGCTATGGGGGCAAAAAGCTAGTTTTGTATTACGCTGTAACTCTCTCTAAAAAAAACAAACAACAACAAAAACCCACAACCAACCAACCAACCAAAAAAGCCCACCAAAAAACTTCTCTACGAGTTATGTTCCTGACTGTAACCATTCCAGGAGAAGGTGGCGGTTAAAGGTGTTAAGTGTCTTTTCCCAGGTAGATGTCAAAATGTCAGTTATCACAGATCTGTTAGGAAATAAGGGCTAAATAGTAGATAAATAGATCAAAACTCTTGTCAGGATTACTGCAAATTTTATTTACTCATTGTACACCTTTGCATTCTGGTGTTTCTCAAACTTCTTCCCCAGAGAGGGGCATGTTATAGGAGATATTTCAGCGTAGCAAACAGGGCCCTAATAACGTAACTAGAAAGTGAATAAAAGTAAATTTAGTCTTGACGTAAGATCCAGCTCTACAAGAGGAGTAGTTAGGCAAGTTTTGTGTAGTAACTTACTTTTGAACTCAGATTAATTGTCTTTTATATAAACCTTGTATTGTGAATGGTGATGAGCTTGATGCAAGATTCATGGATAAAATCTTTTCTCCTATCTTTATAGGTGTGAATGTAGTTGTCTTAGTTGTTCTTTATGAACCTGAATTTTGAAGTAGCAACTGTAACTTTTGTTTACTTGGGAAAACAGTGTTATGGAAGCTTTTGTAGCTGTTCTCTAGCCAACCAGAAAGATTAAACATTTCAGCTAGTCTAGTGTGATTATCTGTCACAATTGTTTTACAGCCTGTATATAGAGCCTTTTAAGTTATTTCTCAAACAAATGCTTTTTGAGAATCTCTTTGCGTGTCTCTGTAGCTCAGATACACTTGAGGGGTTGTACTTCTGTCTCTGAGCGATACCCACAGATGTGACTTTGTCATTGCACACAGGCTGGAGAACTTTGTGTGCCTGCTTTGGCCTTTTTCGTGTATTGTATGAAAAGAAATATCATTGGTATGCTGCTTTCTTGTTTTGTCACTGGGCAAGGTGATCATTGCTAGTACTGAACCAGCCTTGATTCACATTTACCGATTAGTGAGAAATGCTTGTGCTTTTAAGCACTTTCAGTCCATTTGTGTTTCTTTAGTATCACTGGGGGTACATGTGGGATATCGCTCATCTCCACCACTGCAGTTTTCTTCCACGTCCTGTTCTCTGCCTTTATCAAAACAGGCAGCTGCTTATCTGTGATCAGAAGCCTAACCATTTTACAGCGGTCCTTGTACCTGCTGTGGGCCCCTTTTTACTCTTTGAATGGCGAGGCCTCAAGGTGAATGCTCTGTAACTACATTTCTTACCTGCTTCTGAGTCCCTTTTGAAGCTGTCTTTATTACCTGGTGAAGGAGAGTGGCTTTCATTCTCACTTCCTTTCCTGATAATAAGAATTAAGACAGGAAAATTGGAGCCAAAGCATTTGTGATTTTGAAATCTTCGCCTTTCCCTAAGGAGTCTTGGAGAACTACCTCTCTTGGATCTGCTGGTAAAGAATTTCAGGTGCTCAGTTATTCCAAATGTCAACACCCTTGAAATGAATAGTAGGTGTTAGAGTTTGATTGTTTGTGCTGGAGTGAGAGGAATCTTCCTTGACAGCAGAAGGACCTTTGAGAGGTGAGTGTTGGTTAAGTACTGTAGGTTGGGTCACTTTAAACAGTGAGAGTCTCAATGCTGTCAGTAGTCTGAGCTAAGATCTGGTGTCTCTATGCGGATTGCATTGCCTTCATTGAGATGTTTGCATGCCACTGCACGTACTGTCTCCCATCGGGTAGAGTTTTGAACACCAGTGGCTTTGAAATCCCAAAAAGGGGAGTTAATTCTTCAGGGCCCTTTGAAGTTTGTAACACAGGGCTGCAGTGGCCAGCCCTTTGGTCCTTCAGCAGTTTGCTTGCTGATGATCTCTTTGAAACTTCTGTCACCTTTCCTTCAGGTGGACAATATCCAAATTATGATGGCACATCTTCTCTATTCCCTTCATTTCCCCTCTGTGTCAGATGTAGATATAGAGTAACCCCAAATTTATCCCCAAAGTGGTCTGTGAGCTCCCTGTGAACCAGAGAATACTTACATTCAAGAGTACTCGCATTTAAGTTTTCTCCAAAGAGCACATTCAATGAGTACAAGAGTACGTGCCCTCCAGATAGGCAGTGTAGGGTAAGACTTCCCATTTTATATCAACAGAGTAAATTGATTGGTCCGAAGTAATGTGTTTCCATGAAAAAGCTGTTACAGTATTATGGGTTGTATGACAGCCTGCTGTATTACCACAGTGATCTACAGTTGTCTGGGCTCAATCCTTTGATGTAAAGATTCTGTCTGCACTTGAATCACAAACCATGAAATCTATGTTGAGAACAGTTATTGCTAATGTTTAGCTGATTGCAATGTTGAGAAGATGTGATAATTGCTACAGTGGTGTTGCGAAATTATTTTGCACAGGGGCAGTCATTGATGTAGTTCGTTCTTGCAGTGGGAGAAGTGTTAGACTGGGATTGACTCTACCCAGCCAAAGTGCACAGGTTTACTGAGATGTCTGGTTTAGTGCTGATCTTAGTGTTTGATAATGTAAAGCCTGCATAGACCTTCTTTCCCATTTTTTGAAAGGTGTTTTGGCTCTTCATACATGCAGGGTGTATTTTGTGGGCTTTTTTAACTGTACCTTTACATTCACCTTCTGTAACATGCAGCAGGGCTCCACTGCTGCTTGGAAATAACGCTTTTGCTTCTCTAGGCGCATGAATATTACTCTAAAACCTGACTAAAGAATGTATTTTTTTCTGTAATACAACTTATTTGAGAAATGAGCATATCTTTTGAATAACATTAATGCATAAAGGCTACAGTTTAATGTAATGATTAGGAAATGATCCTGCGGCCAGGGAAAAGAGCTTGGAGACTTGTCTTCCGTTGCTTTGCATTGCCCAGGAAGACTTTTTTGAAGGGTCTGTCTTTCCTTACTCTCTATCTTTGTAATTTAGGCAGGTGGCTTTGAGACAGTTACAGGCTGACTGGGGAACTCAGAATCAAAAAGCTGTGTGTGAACAGATTGAGGGGAGGAATCTTAGGCAGTATGTGAGGATAGGTATCTCTTTCAGAGTTAATTCTGGTGAGGGATACCTTAGTTTAGTCTAGATACGAATAACCCTCTCCGTAAAGCTGTATGCAAGTTGTTGTGTCTTCATTAGAAGTAGATCCAGTTCTGTAGAGATGCTGTACCCAAATCCATTCTCGGTTTTGTGCAGCTTCAGTGACTTTCAGAGTCTCTTCCAAATGTTACATAGTCTGATACCTTCAACTAGGAAGTGAAAAATTTCCTTGTGTAGTTAGTTCTGTTAAAGACCCATGAGCAAAACTGAAAATAGAGCATTTAATCTGACATTAATCAGCCTTCATGAAGGCAAAGTAAGTTATGTTTTTAAAATGGGCCAGCTAGCCTTAAAATAATAAACACAACTTTCCTAGGAGAGGCGAGGAATTAGTGGGGCCCGGGTTTAAAACCCTCTAACACTGAATTTCAGATACATTGATCATTTTGGCTAAAAGGATTAAGGAAAAAGCTTTCATTTGTAACCATTTCCTTTCTGTGCTTCATTCCCCATTCAGGGAACTTAAGATAGCTGACTTTGAAGGCACTAGCAGAAAATACAGCAGAGCTTTTCTTGCCATGCAACTTTTTTTCCCCTGTTCTGCCCACTTAGTTTAATAGTGTGTGTATATTTGATACGATTTCTTGGTGTTTTTTTTAATTAAAGTACCAACATCTATGTTATTTGAAAATTACATGTGTATTTGAGAGAAGACCACTGGAATTTTGATATTTCTTCCCTGAGACAAAACTGATAGAATGCATTTATAGCTGTGAATTTCTTGTGTCTGTGCTTTGCCTGTCTTTTCTGATAGTCTAGAATGCAAGCAGAAAACAATGACAGCTGTACAGTAAGTTCTTGTTTTATTTTGCAGGTTTGTTTTAATGTGGAAGTGGATCTCGCAGCTTAATGCAAATCAAACAAACAAAGGTGAGAAGTTCTGTTTTGGTGTTGTGGTTTGGTTTGGGGTTTTTTTTTCCAAATTCCTTGGATCCATTAGCATATACTGCTAAACACTCAGAAAAAGTGGTCAGTGAAAATTGTACTGAAACTTGTATCTTGATTACTGTAATTTATGGACATAGTATTACTTCTATGATACCAAAATAGGAACAAAACACGCACCCCTCTAATATTTAAGATGATGATGATAATTATGCTTTTCTTCCATCAACTGTTATAGTCAAAAAGCCATTAAGGCATTAAGAGCCAAAATTATGAGTACTTCAAATGAATTTCATCCTCTGCATATTACTCACCTGGTTTCAAAGTACTGAAAGTGTACTTTGCATTGTCAAAGCAGCGTGTTAAACTTGCACTTACTCTATTAATAAATAACTGTATGGGAAATTTCACCAGCTACCAGAATAGCATTTCAAATTTTTAATAATGAAATTCTGTTGGGTTTTTTCCCCCTTTCCTGTCCTCAGGAACCCTTTTGGGAGCTATTTGAAAGACAAAGTATATGAAGATTTACTGCCGGTACTCCTGAGCTGTAGAACTTAGGTGTCCATTTGCAATTGCAAAGTGTCCGTCTAGGAAAAACTTTCTGTAACTTTGGCATTTCCCCCCCTCCCCCCATTATTTTGAGAAAAAGAATTTAGCTAAGCCCAGATTTTGTTTCTCTTCAAGTTACTTGATATTATACTTCAGGAAGACTTTGAACTATAAACTTAATCTCTTCTCCATTAAATTATGTGAAACATTTAACAAAGAGCAACTTGCTTTAATCTGTTTTTAGCTTGATTCTTTCAAGAATATCTTTAGGTAAGGCCCCACAGTTCGGTAAATTCTCTGCTGTGGGGACAGGGCATGATGGACTGGTGTACATAGGCTTCCATAAGAAACAAAAACTGGCTTCTCAAGTGTCCTGCTTGCTGTTTGACTAATATACCATCTCAGAATACAGCTGCTTGCTGTGAATTGATATTTTGAGAGGTGAGAGGGAGATCCCGTTTGCTCAAATGAACTTGTTCTTCGTTTCTAATCTCCGATTAATATGTAGAATTAATGTAGCTTTAAAAATGTAGTATGTGCATTTTAAAATAGACATGACTTGCTTTGTATCTTCTGCTCTGCTAATACTTTTTTAGAGCTACTGCTGTCAACTTTAAAATACTGACTATAGCAGAATGCTTTGTGAGGAATTTAAAATAACTCTTCTGTTCAGTGTTGTTCCTTTGTATAATGTATAACTGATTCAGGACTTAGATTATGAATTGTCTTCTGAACTATGAACAATTAAAAGTAAGCTGCACTGCTGTAGTATGCATATACTTATGTGCAGGGGTATGTTTACTGCCTTAGCCTGTCTTTGCAGGTTTCTAGAATGTGCTGCTTTGAGAAAAGGAATAAATGCAACTCTGCAAAAGGAAATAACTTTTCTGTAACTGAGGATGAATGTAAAACAAGAATCATGTCTAGGGAGGGGCCTTGAATTCACAGTGAGATTTAGATTGTTCCCTGTGCCTTCTAATGCTTTCAGTATTTAATGCTTACACTTTATGGTCTGTCTCTTTTTAATTTGTGTGTTATCCCATTACTGGTTTAAATACAGAAAGTTAGTTGAGAAGTCTGTAATATATAAATAACTGTGTTCTTTAAGCATGAGATCTTCTGAATGAAACTCCGAAGACCTTTCATTTAGCTGTGTATAATAGAAAAAAGCTGGTCTCTGAGGAGAAAGCCTGTACTCTTGCATACCTAACGAGAGGACAGAAAAATGTGTAAAAGAATACATGGAAACAGTGTAATGACATTTGATCGGTATTGTTATTGCTTGGAGGAGATCTTGAGGTTCTGACAGTTCTGTGAAAATGACAACTGAATAGTCAGTAAATCAATGAAAATATTACGCCTTATCAGGGAACAAAACAAAAACTAGAACAAAACCAAAAACCAGATCTGATTATACAAATCTGTGGTGTACCATAGATGCATTGCATTGCAATGTGCATTGCTTCTTGAGTACTAGTCTACTCCTGTGACTAAAAAACGACATAGCAGAGCTGAAGAAGGTTCAGAGAAGGGCAGCAAGGATGACTGAAAGACTTCATTTTAAAGAACAACAACCTGCATTTCCCAGCTGCCTCTGTCTTCTGTCTCCACTCATGAGTGTAGTGACTGCAGCATCTTGTAGACTTCTAAACAATGAACTTATCTCCCACAACTCAGTGCAGACTTGTCCTTTTGCGTAAGCTTATGTCACTTAAAACAGTAGCTGAAAATGTGATTTGATGATTTGCTCAAACATTTTTCTTGTACTCTTGACCAGAATGCATTTCCTAATGACTTTGATATTGTGCTTTCTATGTAGGTTTTCTTTGAGTAAAGGATTTGGGGGTTTTGTTTTTCTAATTGCAAACTATTTGCTTTCCTAATGCAAATATAAATGATATGATATCCTGACTTCTGGAAATAAAAAAAAAAAAAAAATCTATTGCCAGTTAAAAACACATAGGTGTAAGATACTATTTACAAACAGTGAATGTACTTTATTGGGGTAACTGTAGTCTTTGTTCTTAAGTTTTCTGGCATCCAGACTGCATCTTCTGAGCTCCATAGGAGACTGATCTTGTTTTAAATATGGGGGAAAGTTAGGAAAAAATAATCTTGGTCTCAATGTGTTAACAGTATAATGGGTCACGCTTCTGTGTAACAGGAAAGGTTACAGAAGGTAGATGCTTGTGCTGAATTTCCCTGTAACAGTGGGTAGAGCGAAGTCAGATTTTAAGCATTTGAGATATCAGGCAAAACCAGACTCGCTTCCAGAAACTGTCTTGAATGTATTCAGTATTGCTTTACCTAAAAGTAGAGGATGTAATAAATGAATAATACCACCACAGATGTTGAAGAAGGATAGATTATATACAGAATTCTGCACAGGATGAATTTGAGTATGTAGGATTTGTGTTTCTTTGGCTCAGACAGGAATCTCATACAATTTTCATCTTGTTCATATTATCCTGGTAACATGAAGTTGAGTTTTCTGCCATTAAATCACTTATGGTGATGACGTTTTAAAAACAAACAAACAAACAACAAAACACCAAACAAAACCCAATTATTAGGGGAGTGACCTTATCTTTTCTTGTCACTTGGAATTACGAGTTTTGTCTGTTCATCTGGTCATGTACAGAGTTACATAGCTTCGGGTCTTTTAAAAACTCTTATTTCATATGTTCATCAGTAAGGATGATAACTTTCTCCAAGTTGACAGAATTTTTTGTTCTTAGTCTAAAAAGGTACAAGATGATTTTTTGGCCTTAGCTGGCACTGTTACAGTCGTATTAGCTTTTTAACCCTTGGTCACTGAAAGAATATAGAGGATGGTGAGAGCCAGTTTGCTGGTAAGGATGAGTGAATATCACTAATGTAATTCGTTACACTAAGGTTCTAAATTAAATGAGTAAAAACAGGGTGTTCATTTCAGGTAGTCTTTTTATACTTGGGAAAGAGAGCATGCTTTAGGTGTTAAGAAGTCTCTCTACGTTAGCAGGAGAGATTGGTCACTGAAAGAATATAGAGGATGATGAGAGCCAGTTTGCTGGTAAGGATGAGTGAATATCACTAATGTAATTCGTTACACTAAGGTTCTAAATTAAATGAGTAAAAACAGGGTGTTCATTTCAGGTAGTCTTTTTATACTTGGGAAAGAGAGCATGCTTTAGGTGTTAAGAAGTCTCTCTACGTTAGCAGGAGAGACAATCTTAAAATTTGTGATACTATTAAAATATGTACAGCAAATAGTTATCAGCCAAAAAAGCAAAAAGCATGAGAAATTGCTAGATGTGGTTCAGATCATGCTGGATAAAAAGAATTACAACTTTTATTTAATATACTAAGAAATAAGGTCAGGATTTTTCCAAAGTTCAAAGGTGTGTCGTGTTCAAAGATCTGTCTCAATAAAATTGGGTTAAACTGTTTTTAATGTCATCTTTAAGAAAGTTGCACTGTAAATCCATTATGCGGCATCATGTTGTTGTCATGCAAGTTCTCCTCGTCTATGATCTGTAGGACTGACACTTCAGGACTAGTTCATGCAGGTAACTAACTAGTTCATGCAGGTAACTAACAATATAGTTTAATGAACTTGAGAAATATTCCTGTAAAAATAGGCAAATATACCTGACTTCTAAAAACCCTTCCCAGTCTGGCTGTGATCTTTACATACTAACAAAAGTACATTGAGTAGCTTATCCAAATAACAAGCTGGATGTTTATACCTTAAGAGATCTTCATCTTCAGTTACTGAATTCACCTTTCTCTGAAATTTGGGACTATGGTGAAAATAAAACTTCTGTGGTCATGTAGTTGTAATCCTTAGGGATTTGTATAGAGTTATGGAAAACAGTGAATTATTAGAGTCAGTTCATTAATATGTATTGGATTTGTATTGGAAGAAAGGGTTCTTTACCCAACTGCTCATGAAAAGGTGTCTGAACAAAAAGACCAAATTATAGGAAAAACCTTGGTTTTAAATTGAAAGTCAGTTTAAGATTTGGATATGAAAATTCTGTAGGTTCTGCTTTGATTAATTTTGAATGTCTTTGTGTTAGTACGGCATAGCTCATATTTGGTGGCTGGGGGAATGTTTTCAGTTCTGTGTGCTTTACACGTGGGGAACAATTAGATTAGCATACAGAATTTCACCACCACTTGGTGGCAGTACATGGCTTCAAAAGGACTTGTTTCTGAGCAGATAAAATGGCTTTGATTCTGTAAAACTGTAGGTTAAGGGGGAGTAGATTTGTTTTAAAATTTCTAAAATTTAGTGATGTGTTTCAGAAATGAAAATACTTTTTATTTAACCTCCTGGAAGGATTTGCATTTGTATGTCTCTATGGAAAATCTAGCTATCATGTCTAATACGTAATTTAAGAGTATTTCTTGTGTTAATAGTATTCTCCGAAGATGTATTTAATGTTCCC